GAAGGAAGGAAGGAAGGAAGGAAGGAAGGAAGGAAGGAAGGAAGGGAAAGACGGAAAAAGACAAAGAAAGAAGGAGGAAGAAAGTAAGAGAGAGAAAAAGAAAGGAAGGAAGGAAGGAAGGAAGGAAGGAAGGAAGGAAGGAAGGAAGGAAGAAAGAAAGAAAGAAAGAAAGAAAGAAAGAAAGAAAGAAAGAAAGAAAGAAAGAAAGAATTAATTTTATTATTATTTTTATTTTTAATTGTTCCATTATTTATCATGTGTTAATATTTTACACTGTCCCTACACCTAGAGTGATTTTACTGCCTTTCTTTTGCCCAGGGCTACCACATATTTTTCAGGGATTTACATGCATTCAATGTCTATAATCCAGAACATAAATATGCATTTGTTTAACAGAGTTGAAAGGGACTTTGGAGAAAAAGTGGTATTCAGCAGGTTCTGGCCAGTTCTGGAGAACTGGTAGCGGAAATTTTGAGTAGTTCAGTGAACCAGCAAATACCACCTCTGACTGGCCCCGCCCCCATCTATTCTCTGCCTCCCGAGTCCGAGCTGATTGGCTGGGTCTTCTTTTGTTGCTCAGCACAGGAGAATGGAGCTGGAAATCTGGTTAGTGGGGTGGGGAGGGAATGGGATTCTGCAGTAACCTTCCCCTGCCACGCCCACCAAGCCACGCCCATAGAACCAGTAGTAAAAAATTTTGAATCCCACCACTGTTTTGGGGGTCTTCTAGTTCAACCACCTGCTCAGGTAGGAAAATTGAGGATGCCAAAATCTGAGCAGAGGTCCTGGGAAAGGTATCAGAATAACAGAATAACACTTAGAAGGGACCTTGGGGGGAGCCCTATACCACTTCAGAGAAATGGCTGTCCAGACTTTTCTTAAAAACTTCCAGTGATTGAGCACCCAGAACTTCTGGAGACAGGCAGTTCCACTGGTTAATTGTTCTCACTGTCAGGAAGTTTCTCCTTAGTTTTAGGTTGCTTCTCTCTTTGTTCAGTTTCCATCCATTGCTTCTTGTTTGCCTTCTGGTGCTTTGGAAAATACATCCCCCCCCCCCACTCTTTCTGGCAGCCCCTTAAAAGCCTGTTGCCTATCACACTCTTGGGCAAAGCATGCAAACCATTTCCTCCTTTCAGTGGTCCATGAAAGTACATCTATAGTATGTAGAAGGCAAAAAAAGCGCTGAACAACATTTTTACAGAACTATAGATACATTGAGGCTGGGTGTGACAAAGAATGGCTGGGAGGGGAGGGGCCAGACGAGGCACCCCTTGACGTGAGTGACATTGATTTGGCCATGCCCACCCAGTCACATGACCACCAGCCACTCTCTCCCAGTCACATGACCACCAAGCAACACCCACCAAGCAAGCCATGCCCACAGAACCAATAGTAAAAAAATTTGAATCCCACCACTAGTCTGTTATTGAGATAAATCATAAAATCTATCCAAATCTGATAAAACTGTTGTGCTGCTTCTGATGTCACATTATTTTAACTTCATCTGTGATTTTTTTTTCAAATGTGGCAATTGAAGAGACTTTGTTAATTCAAATCTAAAATGTTACGTTATTTAGAGTTTTCCAATGTTGTGCAATTATTGTTTTGACTGCTAAAATTACACAGATAAGTTCTTTATTTTTAAGCCTTAAGGTTTCATCTTGTAAATAAATGCAATAAGCCAACTTGGGAACAACAGTTTTTTGTTTAGTGATTTTACTTACCCCAAAAATTTTATAATGAAAGGGTGTAGCTTTATCACATGACCACTACAAGTGGGGTTAAAAAGATAGTTGTTGTTTTTTAAAGATTTTTTCCAACATTGGGAAGAATTGTGTATGTGTGTGTGTGTATTTGTGTGTGTGTGTGTAAAGACTGTATGTGTAAAATTGTCTCCCAGCTTTATCCTATAAATCCGATCGTTGGATTTAAGTGCTGTTACCAGCACTTCTATAATAAGATTGAATAATACAGGTGATTAGAGATAACTTTGCTTGGTACTTTTTAAAAACAATAGAATCTGAATCAAAACTGTTATGTCTTATTCTGCACTTTAGTTGGTCCATATATATGTTCAATCATCTTGCAACAGCCAGCCCCAAATCTGAATTTTTTAAATATTTGTTTTAAAGATGCTATTTCCAGAGAATCAAACAATTTAAATATATCTAAAGAACACATTGCTAGTAAAGATTAATTAGTTTTATTAATATCTATAGTAATTCAATAATTTTCTGATTGGATAGTTATATTTTAAATTGGAATAAAATATTAATTAAATATAAGTTTACATTCATATATAAAATATATGAATTATGTCAAACTGGGCCGGATGTGTCAAGCGCAGGCAAAGCCCACCCCAGCTGCACAAATGGGAAAAACGTGATGAAACGTCACTTGGCGCAACATGACATGGCAAGTTTGATACCTGTGATTTAGTGTACGGTTTATAATCCACATTGAGTAGTGAATTAGACCTATAAGATGACAATTTCTGTGAATTTGCATCCATTTTAAAGATCAAAATAATCCTGGACTGTTTTAAGACTCTGGAAAGGGGTCCTCTTGGTGCAAACTGTTATATAAAAATAAAAATGTAAATATTAAAATCTCTTTAAATTTTTTATAAAATTCCCCCGACCATCCATCAGGGTCAGGAAGTTTTCCATTTTGAATAGAACTAAAGACTTCAGAGATTTCTGAAACAGAGAAAGGAGATTTCATAAATTGTATACATTCTGGAATTAATTCTGGGAATGTTATCTTTGCTTGGCAAAAAATAATTTGCAGGAGATTTCATCTTTCTGCAAATAATCTCATTTTATTTTCCATCAGTTTGTATATATTAACTGACACAGTTCTGTTATGTATTTTGCTATATTGTTAACTTCTGAAAAAAGTTTACTTGTTTTTTTTAAATTGTGGTCATCTCATGTATCCTTAATACTGCCTTCACAACATCCCGTCTCATTTTTACTAATGTTCCATTTATATTATTTTCTTGAAAAAAGTTTCTCAAACTTTGAATTAGGTGTTGCTTTGCTAACGTATTACGTAGCATTACAGGATTAAAACATGAATTCTAAGTAAACGAATAATCTCTACTAATTTGAGCATAATAATCACTACAGCGTGTATTGGTGCAGTTTCAACGTATTACAAAAAATTGGAAAAGGTATAGATATTCTTATGTAGTCTATCCTAGAGTGGGATTCATGTCTACTTGAATAAAATGAATGTGCTTTTATTGCAGGATCCATAATTGTCCATGCAGCTATGAATCCATGGCTATGAATTAAATTTTGAATAACATTCCAGCCTGAGGTTTTAAAGTTTCAAAAATGGGTTTTGTTGTCACTTTATAAAAAGTATTCCAGAATTGTTCTAAGACTCAAAACTCCTTTTAATAGGTGTGTGTGTGTGTGTGTGTGTGTGTGTGTGTGTGTGTGTGTTTGGAGGGGGGGGTATTTGGAAATACTACTTCTTTAAATATGGACAACTTCTGGAAAATTGGGATAGGACTGAATATTTCTAATAAGATCAAATAGCTAGTGTGAATTAGAAACAGAATATCAGAGCTTAAAGAACATACAACCTCAGAAATGGTAGATTTGACACATTTTGTCAAGATCTATTTATTAGCCCAGATAAAGGAGTTCTGAATGCAAACATCATTTACTCAGACACAATAAAATATATTCAATGCAAAAAAATACCGTCTAGCACCATAAAGGGATAACCACTAAAGTATATATAGTTACCAACACATTCAAACATTGCTGCTCTGCAAAACTTAGCATTGAGGCCTAAGCTCTGAGAATTAGTGACAGTACCTTAGATGCTTGAGGTGTTGAAATCACATGAACAGTGCTAGGTTTGACGCCATTTGCTTTAGGTCTTTTATAAAGGGCAAATCTGCTTTTCCTACGACCCCGGTCACCAGTAGGGAGGCAGCCATTGTACCTATGAAAAAGATATGTGTTTGTTATTTCTATTGGCTGAGCATGTCGTGAAATAAAAATTTAAAGTCTTTGTAGACAGGTATACAGGGGCAGAAGCTCTCAGCCATCTCTGATAAATAAAAGACCACCCGAATGTTCAACCACCCAAATCTATAACACATTACCTAAAAGTTAACAAATTCAACAATTTCAAATAAATTATCTGACCATAAGCTGCATACTTCAGTTTCTAATGTCTCCCAAACTCCCCGTAAGCATTCAACTTTATTTTAAAATGTTTAAATAGCTGCTTATATCATGAACCATAAACCTGAACACTTCACAAAACAATAAAAAAATATCAATATTCCCAACAATTACAATAACAATTCCTGGCACCCGAAGACAATACTTTCTCAGACATCAGCATTCCACCTTTTGCTCTCCAGCCTCATTCCTTCCTAACACTTGTAGGAAGAACGCCTTCCAGAACACCAGGGGAATAGAGTTCTGCTGGATCTCCAGGAGGAAGGTTATTCTAGTGGGCAATGAGAGATATGGAGAAGGCACATTGCCAAAGGACAACATTTAAAGGAAGGGACCTGGATTATGCCTATCATATCTAACCTGGGGGAATAGGTGGAATGGGATACCTTCAGGGAGATGTGGTCCTGCAAGTCATTTAGAGCTTTAAAGGTAATAATCATTTAGGGCTTTAAAGGTACTAATCCCCCTTGAATTGCACTGAGGGGAAAATGGAAGCCGTACGACTTCCATTTGACCAATGGGCCCTACCCAAAAGATGATTAAAGGCCTGGAGATGAAAACTTATGAAGAACCATTGTAGAAACTGAGTATGACTAGTCTAGAGAAAAGAAAGACTAAGGGTGAAATAATAGCAGTATTCCAGTATTTGAGCAGTTGCCACAAAGAAGAGGCGGTCAACTTATTTTCCAAAGCACCAGAAGGCAAGACAAGAAACAATGGATGGAAACTAATCTAGAAGCAACCTGGAATTAAGGAGAAACTTCCTAACAGCGAGGACAATTAACCAGTGGAACCACTTGTCTTCAGAAGTTGTGGGTGCTTCATCACTGGAGGCTTTTAAGAAGAGACTGGATAGCCTCTTGTCTCACATTGTATAGGGCCGTGAGGGCGAACCTATGGCACGGATGCTACAGGTGGCATGCAGAGCCATTTGTATGGGCACACGAGCACCAGCCAAACTTACCTGCACTGCGCATGCATGCGCTCCCAGCTGATTTCCCACTTCCAGTACTGGAAATGCTGAAACGGGTCCATTTTTCGGCCTCCCAAGGCTGCAGAGGCTTCCCTCAAGCCCCCAGGAGGGTGAAAAGGGCCTCAAACGGGCTGAAAATCAGCTGGGAGGCACGCACATGCAAAATGCAGGTAAGAGGGCAGTGGGGGGGGTGTTGCATGCGTAGGGGGGGCAGAGCACATTGCATTGTGGGTACCTGGACTGAAGTGCATGCACTGCAATAAGTGCATGCACTGCAATATTTGGAACCAGTTGTAATTTCCAGATAGTCTTTAAGGACTGCCTCATATGGATATATTGTAATAATCCAATGAGGAAATGACCAAGGCATGAGTAAACATAAGCTGTAAGTTTTGTGAGAACTGTGAGTTCATACTGTAAACTTCAGCTAAAGTGTTGCTTAAGAACAAAAAAGTAAAATAATCTACCACAATTGTATGTGCATGTTTCAATCATTTGTGATAGATATGCGATGCCTGTGGGAAAGCAGCTTGCAGATATTCTGAACTCGGCACTAAGAAATGCTTCCTTCTCGGTGATGATCAATGAACATTTATTATTATTGAAGGATTTCAGATATGGATGTCTAGACACTATATATTTGATGCCTTGTGTTTTGCTTGATATTTTTGGAGATCCTGGCTCACAGTTCTATTTAATTTACATTCTGTGTATTGAAAGTCTGGCTGGTATAGACTTAAAAGTCTACTAGGAACAAAAGAGATTTGAATGTTTTATATATACTTGTGCCTTCATAAATAATTAAAATTAGAAGAGCATACTATATTCTTCATTTGATTAGATTTTAGGGAAATCCTCTGAGAAATAATTGAGTTGTATACTGCATATCCTTGCCATTTCTTTGAAATAGACAACATAAAGCTCTAGGAAGAAAATAATCCATGATGAAATTCTATCATATCTATTGTTGGTAACAAAGCATATGCAGCATAACAGCCTCAAAAGTACAAAACAGTATCTTCTCCTTTGTTTCTAGCATCAAATCCTTTGATAGAAATCTAAACAAGTATCAAGTCAGGACATTTATCCTGATTCTTAGAAGGTATAGCACAGAGTTTTTAAGTGACCAAAGCAGAGTGAATTAAAACATTTTTTATTTAAATTGGATTTTCAAATTTGTTACAGGTAGTCCTCACTTAATGACAGTAATTGGGACTGGATTTTCCATTGCTAAGTGATGTAAAGCACAATGGCAACATGACCAGGATCCTAGCGACAATAATCCAGCACTTCCAGTTGCTGTCACCATCTGTGACCTCATGCTGGCTTCCCCATTGACTTTGCTTGTAGGAATCTGACAAAGAAGATTGTAAATGGCGATCATGTGATTGCGGGATGCTGCAATATCACAATTGTGAGTCATGTGATCACGGGAACATTGTGACCAACCTAAGTACAAAGACTCATCATGACAACCACTTATTCAGCACCACCATCAGTTCAAGGAATCCCTGAATGAGTGATCATTAAGTGAAGACCTCCTGTAAAATATACAAAATTTATATAAGCTCAAAGGTATTAGAGCTAGGAAACACTTCAGATTTGAAGGGGGGGAAATAAGGAACTCTTTAAACCAAATGCATCTTTTTGTTCTGGGATCATTCTACAGCAATAAAGGTAAGCCACATAATTCATAAGGATCTTTTTTAAAAATTTGCTCAAGACATTATTATATAAATACCATGAAAGTGCCCTTTTGCCTTTAAATCTAAAGATCTGCATAACTCTAAATATACCTTCTAATTATATTTTATTCTACAACTAAAACACAAATGAGGTTTTATAAGTTAAACAGGCGTTGTTACCAAACTCACTTCCAAAATAGTAAAATAAAGTTAATGAACAGATATACACAACATTGTTTGTAGAAAAAAAAGATGCATAACTATAATAACAAGTATTCTTTGACAAAATAACAATCTCATGGCAAAAATAACCTCTCAGTAGCAACAACAATTAACTGAACTTGGCGTGGTTAACTGCCTATTGACTTTACAGATATATACTGTATCTGCTTTGTGAAGTTCTTTTTTATTCTCTGAGCTTTGATATTTGCTTGCAGACATTTCATTACCCAGTTATGTAACATCATCAGTGCTTGTATCAACATAGATCTGCTTCCTGATAATTATAATCATAATTCCATTTCTTCTTATACAACTAATCTGAAATGCTAATTACAGTTTTTCTTGGTGACAGTCTCAGAAGTATGTCACAGATCTGGAGCAATGTGCATAATAAACTGGACATTTACTTTGCAACCCATCTCACAATAAATAACTATTAATTGACTTAGTCAATTAATGACTTAATGAGTACGCATGGTGAGTCAATGAGTTAAAACACATTGCAAATATAAATGCAATAAATAAACAAATCCGGCAAATACTTACAGGTTTGTTAATAGGACCTAGTCAAACCTTTATTCAATTCAAAAATCAAAGATGGATCCTTAGCAGAAAATCTCAGGGCTACAGACTCCATCCTGAAGGAAGACAATAGCCAACCATTTTCATTGCTGGGATTCTTCAGAGGAGAGGGGACTAAACTTACTGATGAATAATATTGAATAAATTCTTGTTGGGTTCTTCTTGTTCTTTGAGCCTGGTTGTTTCCTTGCAGACTAGGTAACTACTTCAGTATAAGTGAGAGTAAGGTTTGCTTATCCTGTTTTGGTGGAGGTGTGGCTTCCTTCTTCTTGGTTCTTTGTTTAAGGTACTGTTTCCTCCCAAGGACTTAGCAGTTCAATTCTGAGTTGCATGTATTCTTTTCTATCAAATAAATTCTTTTCTCTGTTTTAATATCCAGTAAAAGTTGGGATTTTTTTTTCCAAATTACTATTCCCCAAAGAGCAAAACCAACAGCAATTAAATATATTGCAATGGAAGATGAAAAGATACCTGGGGAACCAACCTAAGTTAAAACAAAAATAAAAGGACGGGTAAAGCTCAAAATCTAACCTGCAATATATCAAGACAAGGTGGTGAAGTATTGGTGCTTATCTCTTATTGGAATAAGATGTAATGAATAATTTTGTATGTGCATGCTAAAGTTCAGGTCATCCTCTGGCTCAGGGATGTCAAACTCACAGCGTCAGAGTGGCATTTTTCTCCTTCGCTAAACCGGCTATGGGTGTGTCCAGTGCGTTACACATCCAGGCTGCAGGCCATGAGTTTGACAGCCCTGCTCTGTCTGATGAGATTGATGGAGAACCTCTGATAGTAACCTTTGAGATTTGCTTTTCCCCATACTTAGAGAGAGCTTACTTCTTCACAAAGAACAGCTTTGATCTTTTTTATAGTACTGGACCTTTTCAAACAATAATGGTTTCATTATCCAAAGAAGAGTTTGTCCTAATGGATTATAACAATTTATTCCAAGGTTAATAGTTACACTTAAAAGCCTACTATAATAACTAAATGTTAACCTAGCTGCAGAATAAAATTCCAATTTCAATCTTGAAAGAAGTTTTGTATGCACACTTAAACACACATTATGCCCCACCCATACAAAGAAACAGTTATTCACAAAGGAAGAAACAGGATTGCTGGAATGACTAGTGGGAACAGCAATAGGACACAAGAAAGTGACTTACTGATTTATTGACAATATCAAGACTTTTGGTTGTGAAGTTCATGCTAGAATATGGAAGAAACTAATGCATATGCCATAATATCATATTCATCTTCCGAGGAACCATACAATGAACAAAACAGTAACAA